TACATAAAGTACCTACCACGATCAAACAATGCGTCAGTGCAACATTCATAATGTACAAGTTTTGGTAGCCAGTGATCGCGAGCACCGTCGTGCTTATTGCCGGTGGCTAGTTCAGCAGCAGCGGCGAGTACCTGGCTTCATCTACCACGTTATTTGCACGGACGAGTCCACTTTTACTAGGAATGCGTTATGGAATAGATGAATGCACATTTGTGATCAGAGGCAACCCCATACGCATTTCAGAAAACTGGACATCAGACCCGCGGTCCATCAACGTGTGGGCTGGTATTTATTTACAATGACAAAATACCTACTGGGACCGGTTTTTGTGTCACAGCGACTAAACGAACCACGTTATCTCGAATTTATTGAGCCGCTAGTTAGAATGCTAGATGACTTGTCGCTGGCAGAATATCGGTTAACGTGGTTCCAGCCTGACAGTGCGCGCCCCCACGTAGTAAGGTATGTCCGTGACTGTCTCACCGAGCTGTTCGACGACCGCGCCGGATTGGAAAGTTTGGATCACATGCTTGGCCACCGCGCTCACCCGATTTAACCCCTTTAGACTTATTTTTATGGGGGTATATGAAGGAACGAGTCTTCGATCGCGAGTGTGATAGTGCTGATGAAATGTGTCGCCGAATAGTGACGCTTTTGAACAAGCTGCATGCGGATTGTGTTCATGATCCCACTTTGATGTCTCGTCTTCACGACGAGACTCACCGCCGAGCACAAGTTTGCCTGGACGACGGACGTGAATGGGGCGCGATTCATTCGATCGCGAAGGATTTACAGCCAGGTAAGTAGTTTGATGTATGTACCTATTACTATTACCTAGCTTTGAAATTTCCCATCGACGCGAATAAGTTCGCGCGCACGCGGTAACGAGGTTTCGTTGTGCAAACTTCTCGAGTTGTACGCTTTACATTGCGGGTTCGTAAAATACCAAATCACTAATACCTACGTAAAGATTAAAGTAAATGGTTTTTAGTTTTCGCTAGTGTTTATTTAAGTAATATATTATTAGGGTTACGGTAACTTTTGCACCCTCGTTTTCGTTCTGATGTAAATTGTTCTGTCTTGGTAACGTTACTTTTTTTGCATCACCCAACGGTCAGACTGGTAGAAAATGCCTGCGGCGTTAAGTCCACCCATGTATGTACTTGTTTGTGTGCATAAAGATTTTTAAATAATAAAACCAATAGTTTTATAAAGAAATAAAATGTTTGAAACAAAAAATAACTGGTGAATCATTGCAGAAAGCAAACTTCAAACATACGAACTCATAGTACATTATCAAAAGATAACGCTGTAATTCTCGACGAGGTATTTCTCTTCGGGTGGCACGGACAATGCGAATAGTGCATACAAATTTACGTCTAGTGATTCATGTGCGTATTTCCATGAACATTTTTTTAAAACTAAATAAATCTTTATATTTTTGTTTTTACTTCATACATCGAAAGTACTAGGCAAGTTATTTTGCCGCAGCCCGCAGGACAAAAACGAAATAGATGTCACGGTGTATTGTTTGCGTTACGTAACATCACATAAAATTGTAAATCAGAAACAGAAACCAAGCCACCAGTTTTTATTAGTTTTATGGTTTTTAAAGACTACGTGATTAAACCTCTAAAAAGAGAAAATAGCGTATTCTATTCTGCTTTTTTTTTATAAAACCTTGCCCCACACTTCGTCTTTCTCCTGTGTTGAACTTGTATGTTTGTATACACAATGACACCAAGACCCCGGAACAACAATTTGTGGATCACACAAAGAGTTGCTCCGTGCGGGAATGGAACCCGCGATACGATGCGCGGCAGTCGGTTGCCCATCCACCGCACCAACTGTGCCGTATACCATCACCACGCCGTCAACGAGAACCGTAATAACATTTATCCTAAACCCCGTAGTCACAATGCAAAAACCGCGAGCAGTATGAAGAAGGAGCGTCTAATTAATAAAGTTGTAAACTTTATAAGTAATTCTCAACTGCTAAAGAAAATGACTTCAGAGAATGCCGGTGGAACTTCAAAACCTTGTTTGCAAGACAAACGAACATTTCTATATTAATATTAAAGTTGATTGTGATGAGTACCTGATAAAGTGGTTCTATGTTGTTCATTAACACTGAGAATTTGGATTAATTTTCTGAAGGAATCGAATTATTTTAGAATTAGAATCGTGTATCTATCTCGACCATTTTTTATATTTGACGGGCCGACGTTTGACCACTATCTCGCCTGGTAAGCCATGATGTGGTCTACGATGGAGCACGTCGTCACATAAGCAACCTATTCACTCGGGCCTTGAAGACACCTAGGTTATAATACCCTTCAGGAAATATAGACTGGCAAAGAATTCCACTCCTTAGAAGTACGCACAAGGAAGCTTGATACGAAACGCTTCGTGCGTGTGGTGCATCTACCATGAATCGGTGACGCTTTTCAAGCCCTTAGCAGTTTAGCGCAAAGGGGCAAGTAGAAACTATGTATAGAGTTTCACCCTCTACATACGTTTCATAGGGACCTATATAATTATGTAGGTAATTATTTACGTTCTCTCACATCTATGCACTCAGTATAAAAGTCAGTCGTGTTTATTGACTGTTTACTAAATCGAATTATTGTAAACAAGTGTAACCATAGGTTTTTGTCGCGGAGAACCTAACAGGTTACCGGGGCTCCGGCTCGACGTGCAGGAAGAGGAACGGGGTGGTTTTTAGTCAGTAATAGTCTGACACTCCCTCCCGCCTCACCCAGGCGGAAGCAGTCATTCGATGACTTTCCCCCCTTAAAAAGAAAAATAACCATAGGTTTTTGAAATAGCACCGAGTTTTACATTGTACCTACGGCAATAGGTTTACTTACCCCATTCCATGAAAATCACAATATATTAATATTGTGAAAAGTGGATGTCACATCCACCCCATCCTGATGGGAATACTTAAAAGTTATGTTATGTAAAACAGGAATCCAAAACGTTAATTCAACTCCATTGTCCGTACGTTATCCCGTCATTGTCCCAAATTTAGCACATGTCCCGTGAGCCTCCAGTTATCAACGAGCTCTGCGTAGGCATCACAAAAGAGGGAACAATAGTCCTCTAACACCCGACTAATGTCAGGATGGTTAAATTAAAATATTTGATACTAACACTATTATTTTAAGTGTGGGAGAGCCATGCTTCGGCACGAATAGGCCGGCTCGTGTGATCACACGGCCTCACAGAAAATACGTGAAACAACGCTTGTATTGTGTTTCGTCGTATGATTGTGGTTCCCGGAGGTTCAATTACCCCTTCCCAATCTCCCCAATCCCTGAATCCCCGACAATTCTCAAATTCCTAATCCCTAAAAGGCCGGTAACGCACTTGTAACGCCTCCGGTGTTCCGGGTGTCCATGAGCGATGTCGATTGCTTACCATCAAGAGATTCGTTTGCTCGTTTACCAGCTTACGCCATAAAAATTTTGATTGGGTTTCCGGTAACCTTACTCACACGACGAAAGACAACGCAAGAGTTGTTTCACTTCGGTTTTCTGTGAGGCCGTGGTATCACTCCGGTCGAGCCGGCCCATTCGTGCCGAAACATGGCTCTCCCACACTTTAGTTATTTATTTAATTGACAAAATCTACTACTTTCAACTCTGAGCTCAAACTTGGACCCACACTTACCTACCAAAGTACCAAGAGCTGCGACACCTTTCCTTTATAAAACTCAGTCAGACAAACATACACTCTCATTTATTATTTCACACAGATTACTAAATTTCACTCTCTGTCGCAGGTATTTCATCGGTCTTTTTGAGGTCGTCATCGAGATATTTTAGGGTCACGTCAATACCTTCCCAGTCCATTTCCCATTGTATGTTAGGGTCCATTTTTCATTTGGACCCCGAAGCCTGAATATCTCGGAATCCGATGGATCCGTTTTGATGAAAATATCACTGGGGAAAATGCTTTCAGAGGTGAATAGGGAAGAAAGTGTCTATAGACTTATGAAACGATGTTTGAATGTATATTATATATTGGTTTTTGTGCTGAGATTTTTATACTTAGATACTTTTTATATGGAAAAATATTGGAATTTTCGTTAAGTCGTCTGTGCCGATACAAACATCTGTAATCGTTGTTATAGCTGTCAAAAGCCTCCCAAAATCAACAATGGGTCTAGTTAGTTATTTTTGTTCTGTTATCCGAATATTTATTTATTTTAAAACAACATAATATTTTTATTGATGTAAAAACGAGGGCCGTTTTTGTCCTAACTGAATATAGTTGGGTTAAAAACCTGGGCCTCGTTTTTATAGAGAATTTAAAAATCAGAAAATCGAACAAACTCCTGTATGTATCCAATTTTTATATAAATAATTTGAATTTTTTGAACCATTCAGAGTGCAATACGAGCGCGATTTTACTGAAAATGAAATGAACGTGTTGAAAATAATATAGCAAAAACACTTTTATTTTGGAAATATGAATAAGTTATTCTTTGTACACAGCTCTCCATTATTATTGCGAATTTCTGTAAAAGCTACACTCGTTACATAAGCCACGAATTTTATAAAATGAATAAAAATTGCGACGCCAATATTTCAAAGAATTCGTTTGTGACCGCAGCCATCGCTGAATCATAATAAAGGATTTAAGAATAAATTTTCATAAAATCCAAAGCTAATTTTGTGTCCAAACGCCCTCTAAAAGGTGAAGCGAAAGTAAGACCGAATACGTACCTCGTCATGGGTGATCGCCAGCATCCATATATAACTTGCACCCTTTGATGTACTAATTAACCTTAGCAAAAATGTTCACGGCACACGATTACGCAATTAATTTGCTATTTTTGTTTTTGTTCGCAAAAGAGGACCGGGGCAGATATCGCCCGGGACTGTCGTCATGGAAACGGGGGGTGCTGTCGGCGCGCGCCGCGACAGAGCGGCAGAAGTGACCTCGCGTTTGCCGTGTTCGCCGCGTCGCGTCTACCGTCCTAAAACGTTTTTTTCACGAAACGAGAACATCCCGTGCGTAATGATACACACCTTTGACGACTAACCAACGTTGCAGTGCTGTTTACATCAAAACTTGTGGAGTTTCACGTGTGTTCAGTGTTCAGTGTGTGCGATGCATTAGTTGGCGTGCAATGTTGAGAGGTGGTGGGACGTGTCTGTGACCGGGGCAGCTGCACGGGAGGGGCGATTTTCACGCTTGATCATGCCTTTCGAATTGAGATCAGGTGAGCTTTTCAGGAATTTCAAGCGCAAGCGACTGTTATTAAGGACCATTTTTGATTGTACGGTGCAAGGGTAAAAGCTATGGGCATGTGCAATGTCATCGGTACGTTCGCGTTCGATGTAAGTGAAAATGAAAGTTATGCAGTACGGTTTGACTTTATTAAACTATGTCGGCCGTGAAATCCCTGCAGTGTTACGTCCACGTGGTTATGAATCAGCTGCAGTTTTTGACGTTTAATCTCGTCTACTGGACCATATTACTTCGTTTGTAGCACCTACCCTACTTCGTTAGATATGCTGCCAACGGTATATTTGTCCGCCACACAATGTCGGTATCCAAAACAAAAGTCATACGTTATTCACACGTTAGCAAATTAACAATCACCTAATCAGGAATGACCCAGTTTCGCAAAACCAACAGTTTTCATTATTAAACTACCTAAATAATGTTATGTAATTCTCTCGTGGGTTGCAACCTTGAATGTTGAATAAAAGGAGGATTTTTCAGGGATGTCCTCTGGGATTTTCAGGGTTTTCAGGGTCTTTGTCCCCTTGTATATTCAGAACAGGTTTATTGTAGGCTTTGAAGGGAGACAACGGCAGGTATTTGTCAAATTTCCGAAGTAAATCTTTTGGTACGGGAGAGGTTTCATTTGGTTTTTTATAGGGCTTTTAATAGAGGATCGAGGGAGTTTCCTTCAAACGAATATAAATTTTGAAACGAGTCAGTCCGTCAGTCAGAACCAACTGATGGACTATTCTGTTTCTGAGGTTTTAAGTGTGTGTATGTCGATTGGTTAAAGCAAATCCATTAACGTTGACTTTGGTTCATACGGTACCATTTCTTTTATTAGCAAATGCAGTCATATAATCGAGTATTGATCTCTATCTACAATGAAAGAAAATTAATCTTTAATGCTAAGTTAATATGTATGGTTGAGTGGGAATACGTCATAGGAAAACCACCCTTATTGAAACAAGATTGTAGTTGATTATGTGACGATGTTAGCGTGCACATGATTTAAAATCACTACATACGTTTAACCCTATTTGCATTGATAATTGTATTTCCCTATTGAGCTTGAGTTTCTCGTACATTATCTAATAGATATGTCATCATGCAAATGATGTATTTATTATGAAAGTATAGTGGTAGTACGCGATTCTGTGAGTTTGATAATGTACTTAGTCATACTTAGTACTTAGAAGACTGTCAGACTGTATTATGGTTTGAAAACTACCCTAAAAACTGGGGTTGTTTTTAATTGATCAGTAGTTTAATATTCCCTTTGGTTTTTCCCAGGCGAAGGGGCTTCATGAGAATGTTCATTTACCATTGGGTAAAAGAAAGTGTTATGGGACTAACCACATAACTAGCGATAAGAATAATATATAAACTACGTATAAAAAATCTACTCAGACCCTTTTTTTAAGTTGGTTAATTGATATACTAAAACCTTCTCCTAAGTGTAAAAACACACTGAAAACTTTATCAAAATCGGTTTAGCCAATCGTGAGATAATCGCGCACGAATATACATACAAATCAAATTAAGAACCTCCTTCTTTTTTCAAGTCGGTTAAAAAGTTTCTGTCATGTATTAAATTTTATTTCAGATAATAACGTAGGTACTTACGTGGTCATTACTTGTATTTTCGGTTCTAAATTGAACCTTATTTAAAGTATCAAGAAGATTCATCAAGCAAAATCTTTAACCGCTTGAATGCACCGATAGGAGACACAAAACAAAAGAAAATACATTGTGTCTCGCGTGGATCCATGTTTAGACACACGACAGGTTAAGCAGAAATTAAAGGAGTTAAAATATCTGGAATTTTTCCAACTAGGTTACGGTAACCAGTCTTATTAAGATTCGGTTAAATATCAACTTTTTGGGGTGCGAATACCATGCCCTCTACAACCCACTTTTTTTTTAAAGGGGGGAACTCATCGAATGACTGCTCCCGCCTGGGTGAGGCGGGAGGGTGTGTCAAACTCTTTTTGACTAAAAACCACCCCGTTCCTTCTCCTGCACGTCGAGCCGGAGCCCCGGTTACCCGTTAGGTTCTCCGCGACTCTACAACCCACTAGGAGCGATATGACGCATCTTAGGCTCAAAATACTGCAATTGGACGGCTCGTTTGGTTTGCAACCATTTGGTCATGACTGCAATTGGACTGCACGTTTGGTTTACAGTTCAATTGTAGTCGTGACATGACTACATTCAAACGGCATCCGAATGAATTTGTATTTGAATTGCCGTCCGTCTGTCTAGAGCCTAAGTTCGCTCTGATGTTTAACCATCTCTAACAGGGAACAACTTGATATTAATGTTAATGAGAATTGAGAATTTTGAGAGAAAATTAATACAGAACATACTATACATATAACCTGTGATTCAAGACAATCTGAGGTTTTCAGATTGGTAAAGAACTTCCATAGTTTTTAAAATCAGATTGGTCTGTTATATGTATTTTTCACTTGGTTTGGATTATTTTTTGATAATAGAGATTTTTTATACTTGATAGGATGACGTTTGGCCACAATCTCGCTTGGTGGTAAGCTATGATGTGGCCAACGATGGAGCACGTCTGATAATGCAAATTGTAACACAATCGCTTTTATTTCACAAAGTACTAGTCAGTAGTGCAGTATAGGTAGTACTGTCAAAACTTTCGGTTTTAAAATCTTTTCACATCAAAATTCCGATTCCAATCCATTCAACCTCATAATAACAAGGAAGATAAAATCTGTCGTATTTTCAGATAAACTTTTAAAGAATGAAGAGTGGATCCAAGTTCTGAAAGTAGGTTACAAAGAGATAGCCAAGAAAATAGTTTTTTGTTCTCACTAATGCAATTTTTAAATCCTCTTTTATTGATGGTGTATTTCGATTATTACGGCAAGAGTAATGAATTGTCCGACAGGAGATTATAGTATTATGATGGATCGCAATTTAATTTAAACGGAGGGAAAGAATATTGCTTTTTTATATTTCCGTTGAAAGTGGAATATGGTTTCATTTTGTTTTTTTTTAAACAACGTCGCCTCCTACTCACACGGGATTTTCTCCTGTGTCGTGGGAGCGTTTACAAACATAAATTAGTTCACATATGACACCCAGACCCAGAATATCTTATGGATCACATAAAGAGTTGCGAGTTGAGTTGGGAATCCAGCCCGCAACACGTTGCACGGCAGCCGGTTGCCCAGTCATCGCACCAACCATACCGTCATTTTACCTATTTACACTTTATGTACACACGGCTACATATCGAGCTTTACATAACCAGTATAAACTGAACGTTAAATGTGCGGAAAGATGATGCGACGCGACACCAGGATAAACTGGTTTTGTATAGATTGATGTGTGGCCGTGTGTACAACAACCCAAGTTATATGGTATACAAGATAGAAAGTAAAGATAGATTCAGTACCTGGCTGTGTTTTAGTGAAGAAAGTTGCAGTTCTAGTGAAATGTAGAAGGTTTTAACTTCTACTTGTAAACGATAGTTAGCATTCGTTTCGTGTAAAGTACCTACTATCATTCAGTTAAATTGTTTAAGAACCCCAATTCTAACCTAGTTGGAAAAAGGCCAGGTAGAAGGAAAATTGGACACAAAGAATCTTACTTAAAACTAGGTTCAAGGGAAATGTCAGTTGTGGAACAGTTACTTAAATGAGGGAACCAATGCTTGAGTTTTGGGAGTTCTGTTTTGTAGATTATTAATAAATTATCAGCCAAGGTAAAGGATGCAAAGGGTTGAAGATGGAGATCAGAATTGTGCTATTGGAGAGGATGTTTAGTAGAGGATGGAAACAGGCTGCTGCTGTGCTGGGGACAATGATGATGATTGGTTTTGATGATGATGATGAAAAGTAGATACAAACGTAAGTTGTGGTAGGTAGTTGAAGATCATATTCAGTATAACACTAATTCATGTTTCAGTATAAAGGAAGGAGGATATCAAAAAATTCTTAGTAGTAGCACGGCGTCTGGAATTGTGCCCGGTATATGGCAATAGGTTCACCCCCTATTACATTGGACTCATAACTTAAATAGTGGACAGTGGGTGTTATATTGTGTAGTAGCATTAAGTGCCGTAATGTGCATCTAGGCCTACCCCTTCGGGGATAAAAGGCGGAATGTTATAAATGTAAGGATTTTAAGTCAAACACAATCAATGAGTGTTACATGAGGCCTTTGGTGAGTATCAGGAAAGCTTGAAATGTTATCGATATTCAGTCCCTTTTGCTAGGGCTAAGATCCCGTCCCTAGGCCCCCACCTAGGTACCTACACAAATTATAGTAACATTGTAAACGTGGACCAACTAGTAGTGTTCGGAAAGCAATTAAGCTCACTTACAGGCAAACTTGTCGGTCCCAAGTCCTAACTATCTACTTACAATGTTGGAGGCACTAGAACTAGAGTGTTGCAAAGTTCTGGTCGACCAACTATTTGCTTATGCATAATGCAGTTGAGGAGCTCTTAGCAGTCGTGGCTAATTTCCTAAGACCCCCTTTAACATTAATCTATGCTTTTTGAAGATATTTATGCAGATCTTAATTTTCCCTCCTCTTTTATAAATTACTTGGGGTCACAATCTACACTAACTATCACAATTTTTTTTTCTTCCTTGTCATTCGCACTTTGTCTCTTATCACTTCACGACATCTTCTTGGTCGTTCTTTCGCCCTCTTCGTAAATTGTCGAATTCGGTAGCTACTCGCTTTGTTACGTGATTTTCATCCCTTTTCACATACATAAATATCGTTATACTTGTCTCGCACATTAGGGTAGGCAGAGACAATAGAACGCCAAATGATACGATTCTGGTATACCCCTTTCATTTACATTCATCTGTCTTTTCTAGGTTATTTATCGGTTAAGGGGAGTTTTGACTTCATCTCTTATTATTGTGCCTAATTATAAACAGTTTTAACATTTATATTATGTGAACACATAGACAGACGATTACCTGTCTTAAAGTATACCATTAT